GTTCAATTGCAATGAGTTGAGTAAAATGTTGACTAGTACTATATTTTTACAGGTTTGGAATGAAGAAACTTGGTCTGGATGCTTGTCTATGTTTTCTGCTATAAAATTGTCATATTGTTTTCATATTTTTTATTTTATGTTAACAATGTCTTCATGCTGTTGTCTTTTGTTTTAATACTGCTGTCTTGTGGTCTATTATAATATTGTCTTAAAGCCTCTAGCTTGTGGTGTATTATATTATTGTCTTAAAGCCTCTAGCTTGTGGTGTATTATAATATTGTCTTAAAGCCTCTAGCTTGTGGTCTATTATAATATTGTCTTAAAGCCTCTAGCTTGTGCTCCATTATAATATTGTCTTAAAGCTTCTGTCTTATGGTCCATTATGATATTGTCTTAAAGCCTCTAGCTTGTGGTCTATTATAATATTGTCTAAAGCCTCTAGCTTGTGGTGTATTATAATATTGTCTTAAAGCCTCTAGCTTGTGGTCTATTATAATATTGTCTTAAATCCTCTAGCTTGTGGTGTATTATAATATTGTCTTAAAGCTTATGTATTGTGGTCTACTATAATATTGTCTTAAAGCTTGTCTTGTGGTTTATTATAATATTGTCTTAAAGTTTATGTTTTGTGTTGTATTATAATGTTGTCTTAAAGCTTCTGTCTTAGGATGATTGCCTGGTCATGCAGTACATGCACTAGACTGTCATTCGATTGTCTCTATGATCTCGGGTTCATACCAAGCCCCCTGCTATCCCCATCATCCTGTGGGAGGTTTGGGCTAGGATGTAGATTGATTGTCTTCAACTCTGAATGGTACAATCAACTTTTTGTGCTCCATTATAATGTTGTCTTAAAGCAAATTTTTTGTCTATTTTCAGTAAATCACTACAAGTGTCCAATGTGCAACATGACCTGTCATTCCCCATCAGCAGTCAGGGAGCATGTCAGATACAGGCACACAGAAGAGAGGAGTTATCACTGTGATAAGTGTGAACATAGGTCAGTGCATTACATTTTTTTTTTGGCTTTGAATTTCTCATTAAGTTGTCAGTCTAATGTATATGTGTGTTTGGGCAATCTGTTCCATATTGACTACTTTTTTTTTAAAGATTTAGGTCAGAAAACTAATTCACAGTGCCATTTCAATTTTTTAAAATAAATTCTAGAGCTAAAACCCAAACAGATTTGCGCCGCCATATGCTAGTCCATCAAGAAGAGAGGAGACATTCCTGTCGTAGAGGTTGTCACATGGTCTTCAACACTTCAGATGAACTGCGAAGGCATCATGCAACCCACGGGGTAAGATCTTAGACACTCTGACAATGTCCTAAATAAAGTTTTGAATTTGTATTGTTTGTGAAAGTTACATTTGTTACTGTTATATTTTAAAAAAAAAAAAAAAATGTGTTGAACAAATAAAAGTAAGTTCCCCTTTCAGATCTTGCAATTTATAGGTCATTTATTTCTGTGACACAAGTTTAATGAGGGTGTTATGTGGCCAGCACAACGACCAACCACTTTTACTTTTCCCCAACTAATGTTAAGTACCCATTAGAGGTGGGTGGACTCTGAGGTCCCCAGAGATCCCGAAATTAAAAATCCAAATCTTTCACCAGGATTTGAACCTGGAACTACTGGTTTGGAAGCCAAGTGCTTTATCTATTGGTTTCTTGATTTTTTTGCATTGATGAGTTCTTTGACATGCATGTCAGAACTTTATATGGCCCCTAGGCTGAAAACAGTGGGTAAAAAACTGTTCTAGGAGTGTTTTCCCTTTACTTAAACATTGCATCGTGTCGCATGTGTGTGTTTATAATGTCATGCTTGACAACACACAATAACATCTGACCAGTAGTACATCAACTGTCCGTATTATTTAGGTCACATTGCATGTGCATGGGAAAATAAATATTATTCTAGAACAGTCCAGAAGGATGACTATATGCTACTGAATGTGAAGCCTGCTATCTGGGCTGCTTGGTTGGTCATTGTATTGTACACAATATCTAGTCATTGGACATTGGTATCTTCACATTGTTTTATTTAACTTCAATATTTTATACAAGCTATCATTGTACAAGTGATTCATATTTTTGGATTACTCATTCTATTGAACTGAGAACTCAAGAAAAATATATTCAGTGCTAAGTTACTTCATTGTATCCTAGTAGTGCGTTGAATAGTTATAGAATTTGCATATGTCTAATAAAAACATGGTGACACATAGAATCTCAATAACTTTTTTTTATGAACTACCCAGATTAAAAAACAAGAGTTTGGGTGCCATATCTGTGCTGAGCGCTTCATTCGGGCCAACACTTTGACCAAACATCTCATGGAAATGCACAACTACTCCTGGCCATCTGGACATAGAAAATTTAAGTGAGTTCAGTGACCAGGCTGTGAAAATAATACCCTGGTAAACCTTTGAGGGTAGAATTATTTAACTTAGAATCATTTGAGTTAGGGGGCATTGAGTTTATGTTACTGTGATTTTAGAGCTGTGTTTACTAATAATATTAGAAAACTTAGTTACTAGTATATGAAAATGTGGGAGTAGACATTATAAAGGTACATTTATGAAGGGGATGTTACTCTGCTTAAATTCAGCATTATGAGTTTGAACTGGATTGGATCGAATTTAGAATTTGTTGATTTTATTATTTGTAATATATAGTTTTGTTAAAAAAAAAATGAAATTTTTCCAACCTTATAAATGACATTATAGAAAATGCTGGAAAATATTTGTTTTTCATTTGAACATTTTAAAAATATTATTTAGGGCGCGCCCTTTTACTTTAATGTGGCTATAACATAAGTTATTTCTCTTTGACTATTGTAGGGAGAAAAAAATTGAATTATTGAAAATTAATATTTTTCATGCAAAAGAAAAAAAAAAAGAATCGCTTATTTATTCAAGTATATATATATACTCATTGTTTTTATAAAGTCAAGGCTGACATCTATAGTCAATTATTTGATTTAAGGCCAATACTGTTTGACTCACTTAGATATCATTTTTGATTTTATACCCGGACATTATGTCTAAAAATATTTGTTTATTCACAATTTGTCAAATCTGCTCTACTGGTTCTAAATACTTTAATCAGATTTTGTTTTGAATCAGTTTTTTGTTTTTCTTCCTTTCAGGTATGTTCGTCATGATGATGGAATAAAACGGCTTCAAACTATTCGCTATGAGAGCATTGAGGTCAGCAAAATGGTAGTCAACCAAGTCTTAGCCTCTCAGCAGGGAAACACTTCTTCTGGGGCTATTTGCACAGTCAGCCCCTTGACGTCTGCTCCCAAAGCTGATAATGGCCCTGTGGCTACACCCAGTTATCAGGTTCAAGGTTCAGGTGTAGGTCCCCATATTGGCACACTTTTGAAGGTCCCCCAGGATTGTAACCTGCATGGCACTAGAAAGCGTAACACCCAGATGCGTAGAGCTAATACTGGGGCAACCACTTCTTCATCAGACAGTCCCTATAAGCAAAAGGGGAGAAAAATGGCTCAACTAAAAGCTACATTCAAGAGAAAAAGGTCAACTAAAAAGGCAACGGCCAGTGAATCAAAAGGAGAGCAAAACACATCTTTGGAAGATGAAAATAATGAGCTCAAACCAAAAAGAAGAAAACGAGACAATAAGAGCAGGTCTGTAACAGAAGGGACCAGTGGATTAAACAAGAGGAGCAACAATCGTGTTACCACATCTACTGGTACTGAGGAAAACTCTACCTTTACTGCAATAAGAGTTCAAGCAACGGGCTCAAGGCAGGCTGAGTTCAAGCCTGTGCTAGGTCATATCTGGTCAGAGACTCTAAGAAATGGGACTGACCAGAGCAGTAAATTTCAATTTGATTCAATATCATCTGAGGGTGCTGTTGAAGGCATTGACACTTTGGGCACCAAGATTGTGCTGCCTGCAGACTTCCACAAGGCTGCTGATATTCTTCATTCAGAAATACAAAATAAAAACAGTTGCTCTTCCTCTTTTCCTCCTATCAGGCTGGCTCAAAGTGGTGGCTGCTCTGTTGTAGTCAATGATCAGGTCTCGGGTCATATAGTTAAGGCAGACCCGGAAAAAATCTGGTCAGGGGTTGTCAAACAGGTGCTGGCCAAAAACAAACAGTTTGTGACATCAGCTTTTCCCCGAACTGTAACTGTTGACCACTCTGGTACAACTGTAGTCCTTCCTTCTGACTTTTACCACTCTGGAGACACATCCCAATCAGAAACCCAAAGCTGGTCAGTTACTATGCGCTCTGCAAGGGACAAAACTACTGCATTTTCTGGAAATTCTCTACAGACGGATTGGTCTTCCAGCTCACAGTCCAGCCCTGTCAAACAAGAGCACATGTCACACATGACCTTGACCACAGCAACACAGTCAAGCCTGATGACCCAGATCAAGCCAGAAGCCAGACTGTATGATAAGACAAGATCGGAATTGGCTGCAAACATCTCCATGAATCTCCTCAAAGATCCTACAACCTACAGCTGGGCGTCCACCAATGATTTGAAAGGGGGAGAACTCTATAATCTTGAAATGTTAGGGGAGGTAGCTCTCAGTGCCCAGGGGTTAGCCACAGGAAAGTAACTCACATACTTTTGACTGTGCTGCATATGAAGGAACTCGACTTCATCTTTCATAAACTTTAGAATCTTTTGATAACTTTAATTTTCCTAGTTTTGTACATTTAATCAATTTAAGTTGTGTATTTTTTTGATACATATATTTTGTTTACAAGTTGATTGCTGAAATCAATTCTATTTTCGTACAAAATATTTTTACTTTGGTATTATAATTTGATACAGATATTTGTCGATTTATTACTTTGTATGGACAGAGTAGACTTTATTAATAGATGAGCTAGAACTGTAGTATCCAGACAGAATAGTTGTATTAATAGATGGGATAGAACTGTGGTATCCAGCGAGAATAGTTGTATTAATAAATGGTATAGAACTGTGCTATCCAGACAGAATAGTTTTATTAATAGATGGGATAGAACTGTGGTATCTTGACAGAATAGTTGTATTTATGGATGGGATCGTATTGTGGTATCTTGATAGAATAGATGTAGCAATAAATGGGATAGAACTGGACAGAATAGTTTTAGAATAGATTTGTGGTATGTGCCATAATATATCAGCTTGTCTTGTGTATCAACACAAGGTGGCAGTTACAATCCCATGTGTATAGGGACACGAGTAAGTACTCATTGTTCAACTTTTTCTAACTCATTAGCACATCCAGATCTGATACTGACAGTCAGTTAACTATAATTGTTATTTTGCATAAAATATTTGTGAAAAGGTCTGAAATTAGTCTTGAAAAGATAAACACATTCCAAAGCCTGGAAACATTATCTAGTGCAGGGTTTAAATAAACCTCGTCTTGTGCAGGGTTTAAATAAACCTTATGCAGTAAAGGGTTTTGATTGGCTCCAAATAGCTAGTCCAACTAGCCCTCATGTAGAGGTTATTATTAATTTTTACACTGATCTTTTTTTTTTACAAATAAAATAAACTTGATTTTGTTATTAAAAATATTTACAGCTTTCAATCTTGAGTGTGTGCAAATATTTATTTCTAAAAAAAAAAAAAGTTAAATTACAAGATATTCTAAAAATATGATTCGTCACTCAAACCAACTGCTATCACCATACAATACTCGCATGTGGTTCAGCCCCCTTCCTCATCTTTTCACCTGCTTTTATCTACTCATCTGCATCCATCCTACTCAAAGTTACATCAATCGCTGGACACACTTTCCATCGGGCTACCAATTGGTAGTTGCCAGTTTTAACAGGCTCAAATGGCTTTACTTTTCTCAATGTACCGAGTGAATGCCTTTATTAAAAATCCAAGCCACCTCTAGGATTCAGGTCCAACAACCCTTTACCACTCAACCCCTTGCCACCCAATTTTTATTTATAAAGGAATTTTTTAAAATTTGCATTTGATTACTAAAATTTCATTACAATTCCCTACGTTTGAATGAATTAAACATGTAAGTTAGGCTTATATCAACTCACTCTGTTTGTCTGGTACAATTTGTGTACACATTATTTCTCCACACTCAATCTCAGATCAAGTTGAAACCTTGCACAATTATTCCTTATACCTGACAACACTAGAATAGAAAAAAATAATTAATTATTAATAATTTTAATTAATTATTTTGTTTGATATTTAACTAGAAATTCTTCTTGACAGATGTGGTAGTATAAGTTGTTGAAGTCCTGATTATGCTTTTATAGCGAATTATGTCATCGCTTAAAAGTTTGAAATTAATAAGAGATAGCTATGAATTCTTCTATTTTCATAAGCACTTCGCTGGCATGGTGGTTAGTGTATTGGCTTGAGGAGGCTGAAATCCTCGAGTTCAAATTCAAGTCCTACAACTTTTAAAAAATATAAAATACATTTACATTTTTTTTTTTTTTTTTTGCAAGGACAAAAAAGTATGTTATTTTGCGTCGCGGTTATAAGTTCATATTTGAATATTTATCCTGTAAAGACAACATTATTACCAGTGTTTTAACAAGTAACATAAGAAAATAGTTTTTTTTCAAAGAAAGTTCCTCCTATATGAAGCTGTTACTTTGTTCTTAATACCTACTATGAATGATAGATTTAACAACAATGAAACATGATTTCCCCCCCCCCCCCCCCCCCATTCCCCCAAAGAAAAAAATAAAATCCTGGTTGAAACATGTAAGAATAAATCTACCCAGCATATATGCAATATAGATCCAGACTTTGAAGACATTAGATTTATTTTCTAAACTCTTCAATGAAGGCATGTGGGAATACCCGCTGACGTAGGTGTGTTCAAGATATAGAATGCCTAGACCTCCAGACCAAATGTACCGTAGTTTTAAAGATTACAGAGTGAAAAATCATACGATCAAACCAGAATTGTTCCTGTATTGGCCAATTAGCTAGTATCCCCCCCCCCCCCCAACCCTTCAAAGAAATTGTTTCTGTTATGGCCAATTAGCTAGTATCCCCCCACCCCTCCAAAGATATACATAAACTTTCACATTTCTAGAAAAATCGTTTGAGCCGTTTTTGAAGTCATGCAGGTTCCAGGTTTTTTTGGTGATTAAGAAATTTGCAAGCTGATTGTAACAAAAAGACATTGTTCCATTTCCTTTCCGTTTTATTAATAAGTTGGTTATTGGGGATGTCATTGTAAATGAAACAACAGCTTTAGGTTTCAATATTATTGTACAGTAACCATGACCTTTGTGAAGAGCTGATATTTGTACTTACACTTTTCTTTCTAATTTAAAGTACACACATTGTATTGGTGTTATTGACGGTTGTTAACTTGTAGCACCGAACAACTAGTATACAACTAAACGGTTGTAGGCGTAATATATATATTAACTAATTAAACTTCAAATAGCTTGAATAACGTCTTTGTGAACAATACTGAATATTACTCTTATTATAATATAGACAAAATGAAGTTGATCTGAGATAAATGAAATGTACTAGACTTAAGCAATAATATTTTTAAACACAATCTAACTCACTACAATAACACAACCAATCAGTCTCACGTTCTGGAGTCGTCTGTCCCAACTAAAACCAAATGACGACAATGGCACGTATATTGCATCATTCACAACCAATCGCTTACCTCTTCCCACCATCACCATATACACACACTCCTTAACACTAGGCCGGCCCATCTCTCCCCCACCCTCTCATAAACACATGTACTGTGACGCTACACATGTACGTTTCAAATTTTCTTATTTTAATTTCTAAACACTATTGATATTGATTCCTTTCTAAGTGGCTGATAGATCCAGATGATTGAAATAGTTTAGTCTGCAGATATGATGGATGATGCACTGGGTGGGTGTATTAACATCACATGCTGACCACGCTGGACGTGTAAATCTTCACCATGCCATCCACTTGGGTCATGGCTACGTAGCCCCTTTGTCCGGCGTATATTCCACAAGGCTTGACCACCCCGTCGTCAGCGGACAGCACTCGCCTGATTACAGTGCCAGTCGTGTCCATCAAAACTACAGAATTGGCGTCGCGGTCTGCGAACAGCGCTAGGCCGGACTCGTGGACGGCGACCCCTAACGGGCACTCCAGGGTTAAACTGTCGATTGACTTGATTGAAAAGATGACCTGCCCCGACTGGTTGACCATGAAAACGATTTTTTTCCCGCTGTCGGATACGATAAAGTCGATGTTTGTCAGGCCATTTGTTGAGTCTCTTTCTACGTTTGTGCCGGACTGTACCTTAACAGGAGTCAGGTACATGGGTCTTGAAATGGTCGCGCGATCAGATTTTTGTGAGTAAATAGTCCTGATAATTTCTCCTTTCTCTGTCAGGAGGTCTATAGAGTCGCATTGGTTAGTCGCGGCAGCTAGGCATCCATTTCCGTCGGAGGTCAGAAAGGAGTAGAGCTTCTTTACCGGGACTGAGCTCAAGACCCGGATGGTGCCGAATAAGGACAGGAAGTAGATGGCTCTCTTGTTCATGACAGACACGGCCGCTCGACCGTTGGAGACGATAGTCACGCGGCTCGGCACGGCGTCGATGAGGACACGAGTCAGCAGCTTTCCGGACTGGTTGAACTTTTTGACGCACTTGTTGTCTCTGTCCGCCACAATGACGTCACCGTTGGGGAGGAGGACGATGTCGGTGAGGAGTGGGTCCGTGACGTCATCCCGAGCGCCGCCATGAAAGCTTGTGAGCAATGTCAGGGACATATCTAGCTTTCCTTCCAGCAGAGTCGGCAGCACTACCGCTTCCGCTACTCCGCCTTCCTCCTGTATGATCCCAAGGAGAGATGACTCTAAGGTCTGGAAACAGTTGTCGTCCTTGTGGAACTTGAACTGCCGCACCGGCTCCTTTTCCCTCTGTTCCTCGAGTTTCTTTGCGTCTTTCGCCACGCGGGAGACGAGGGAAGGCAAGTAAGGCAGAAGCTCTCCTTGGCCGTTGACGCTAAAAGAGAAGTTGAGGACTTCAAGTTGTCGACTTAGAGAGCCAATCAGCCTTTCGACGACAGCCTCTTTTCCCAGCGTGCTTTGCAGCATCTCATCGACCAGTAAGTCAACCTCGTTGATCAGCGCCTTTTCTTTGGCCATTATCAGTTTCACCATGGCGCCACGAAACATCTTTATGTCCAATAACATACGCGTCCTGACTTCTTCGACGTCTTTTAATCTCTTCTTCTTTTCCTCTTGTAGCTTCTGGCACTGCGCCAGGTTGTTGGCAATGTTACTATAAATAGAATCGAGGTCGTCTCGTTTCTTTTCGATGGCATCCTGAATGTTATAAAAATCTTGGCATCTGCGATGGAAAGACGATATGCATTTGTGGCACGTGATCTGGTTGCATTTGGCGCAGAAGGTGTCCGTCATATTGTCAGCGTGCATAGAGCAAGGAAACAGGACAGGGGGTTTGGGCAGGCTGGACTTGGGGTCGTCGACGTCCGTCTCATCCCCATAGCCCCCCAAGAGGCTATCGCGTCGAATTTCCGATGCCGGGAGCTCCGCCAGTCGGCGCTGAATGGCTTCCTGCTCAGCCTCACTCTCTGCAATCTTCTCAAAAGCATGCCAAGGGCGGGCAGAGCTGGTTCGCCTCTCCTCCTTGTCGACAACACAGAGCGGGCAGAAGAACTTATCTGGAGAGTTCTCTCGGCACTCGTCTCGCAGGCACGAAAGGCAGTACACGTGTAGACAGGGCAACATGTGAGGGTTGGTCAACGACTTTCTGCAAACAGCGCAGTCGAGTCCTGTGTCGGGAGTCTCTGTTGCCATGGTTTTGACGTAAGATTTGTTGGCCTTTTACTTCAATGAAAACATGAATCAAATAATTATCTCTTTCCTTTCAAAGCCTGTTGAACAACAACAATGTTACTATTTTAACAATTAATGTGAGAAACAGATATATTAATCAACTTATGAATTGAAACTATAATGTGGCAAGCCGTGGTTCGGTTTTTTAGTGACCATATCACTAGAATGGTAGATAATATTAATACAAAGGTGGAATGTACTGACAGAATACTAGACCGATGAGGTATTGGGGATTTTCATACTAAAAGTTAATCACAGTAAACTGCACATTTTTTACGCTTTGACTTTTAAGATCTCTTTTGTGTTCTTTAAACAATAAAATTAGTAAAGAAAGAAAAAAAAGCGATATGACGACTTGTGGTGTCGATAGGGCTATAATAGAACCGAATGAAAAACTTAATAAAAATAACGAGGTTACAAAGACAGTTTGTGTGGAAACAAACTCAAAATCGGCCCCCGAACTGGTCCACCCAGGCAGGATTCAATATTTTCAGAAGAATATCGGTATTAAATTCTATCAGAAGTGGTCCACCCAGGCAGTTAAAAATGCAGGTTTCAATATTTTCAGAAAGAATATCATAATGAAATTCTATCAAAGGCAAATGACAGAGAAGAATGGAGAAAGAAAGTTGACAGATCTAGTGTGGTGCCCCAAAGGTCCAGCAGACCAAGGGATAGGTGAAAGAGAATGTGAAGTTAGATGCGAACCTGGCT